GTCGATGGATTGCAGTGGTGTGTCTCGCTCGCGCCGCACACATCGTTTGGAGTTTCCGCGCTCTTGTTTGCCCACCACATCCATGAACGCTTCACAGTCGTCCGCGACAAAGCGGGAAAGGTCGCTGCGGAAGACGCCGACAGGTCCGCGCTGCGCCTGGCGTCGGATCCCTTGTTGTTTGTGCTCCACGCATTGCTCGCGTTTCCCAAGCTCGACATTAGCTTTCGTGTACAGGCCAAGTTTGCCAAGATGCTGTTTTCGTTGGTACGGACGGGGGCATGCAGCTCGTGCGGGGGCATCCTTATTCTCGTTGGATTCTAGGTCCCTTCGGATGCCGTCCCCGCGGCACACCATCGTTCCGAGTGCTTCGCCCATCTAGACGACATGTCCATGTATCTCATGCAAGAGCTGAACAGTGTGTTCGACTTGGTGGCGGCCGACATCGTTCGAGTCGCGACCTATTGCGCTCGCACTGTCGTGCTGGACCACCACCCCGAGAAAACGCTCAACTTTGTCCTCACGCGGCCGGCGTTCTTCGAGCCCGCCATCGCAGACCTCCTCGTCCCCGCCTTTGCCGAGCTGTACGCGCAAGGCGTGGCGTTGGTGCTTCGATACATCCGCGCTAGTTTGGCCTACGATGCAGTGGCGAAGACCGTCCCACTCGCGTTTACCAGGTGCTTCCGATACATCCATGCTTGAAAACGAGTCACACCGGTCGCGGATGGTAGGCTCGTTGAGGGATTCGCCGACGAGTACCCGTCGGCGGACCTGCGCCCGCTCATCAAGGAGTTCCAGCTCCACGATGAATTCGCACACGTCGTAGCAGCGCATGATGCCGCGCTGTCGACGCGCCCGATCCAGCGTCGTGCCGATCCGAATGTTTCGTACTGGGCGCTACCTCTCGCGCGAGATCGCGTTGTGTTTGTCGATTCCGACGCCGCCGTCGATGCCGCGCACCGTGTGCTGCTAGCGAGCCGCGTCGTCGCTTGGGACGTCGAATGGCGACCGGACCACATGTCCATCCATGCCAAGTCCAAATGCTCGATCATCCAGCTCGCGTGCGACACGCACGTGTTTGTGTGCGACGTGTTCACGCATTGCACGGACGCGATGCAAGCAATGCTTGAAGCGATCGTGACGGCGACCGTGCCGTGGAAGGTCGGATTCGGTTTGCATGGCGACATCGACCGCCTGCGGTACTCGTTCCCGGACATGCTGTGCTTTGACAGCTTGGACGAGTGGGAAAACGTGCTCGACCTCCAGTCGTACTTGAAATCCGCGACGAAAAAGCACGTTGTCGGGCTCAGCCGGTCTTGTCAGGACATCTTGGGGTGCCCGCTCGATAAGTCGCAGCAAACAAGTGACTGGGAAGCCCGGCCCTTGACTGAAGAGCAAGTTCTGTATGCCGCTGCCGACGCATACTGCCTCCTCGACCTTGTCCGTGCCGTGGATCCGCCGCAAATGCGAGCATTGTAACGTCGGTTCATCGTGCCAGATAATGTTCTATACATGAAAAGGAGTTCCAGCGCTGCTCCTCTTGCGACCAACACGACAAGGTTGCAGTGTCGGCCACCCTCGTGACACGATGCTCCCGTCACGGCGCAGTCAGCGGCGCGTTGGGCAGGTCTGCCTCCAGCAGGCTGTACAACGAGTGGTGGTTGGAATGTTCGAGGTTGTTCTGAGCCATTATTTCGTGGATGCCGCGTAACGCTGTCCTGTTCACGGCAGTTCTGTCCGCGGGACCGTCGCTGCGGTGACGTGTGTTGGACTCTGCAGGGCGTTTTCTGCGTGATCACATTTTTGAAAACGACCCCCATGCAACACGAGCCCAAGTCTACCCTTCAGCCGGCCGTGGCCGTCGCCATTCCAGTCGACTCCCCTGTCTACATTGCCGCATCGACCCCCATCCATGCTCCCTACCCGCCAACCTCATTGTCGCATGCAACTCGTCCAAAGTCGCACACGATGACGTGGCTTCATCACGGACTGTCCAACGCGGCGTCCACTGTCGGCTTGATCATACTGCACACGCTGTCGGCGGCGTTTTCGATCACAGCATTCACGTTTGTCTTGACGGGATTCATCGCGGGGGTGACGCTCCTCCCTCTCATGTGTGTCGGGATCTTGGTCTTTGGGGTGTTCTGGGCCCTCCTTCGACCGCTTTCGAAAGTGGACGAGTACCTGTTCCTCCAACGCAAGGCGCTGTACACGAGCATTCACGACAAGATGCCCACCAACTGGAAGTATGGGTCAAAGGATCGGCAGGAACCGTAGCATGAGCCAGCTCATCACAGCCAGATGCATTCAGTGGTGTGCGGTGGACAACACTAGGTAGTCTGCTCCACCTGCATGTGCCTGTGGGTTGCAAGGTGGTGGTGGGATGGATACAATAAATAGTGTATTCGAAATATATTTCAGAATTTATACAGAGGGGCATTTCTATTGGTCAAAACGTTGTTGGAGATTCGCATAATTGGTAAAAAATACCTTGCATTCGACAAGTTGACCAGCGCCAAGTGATGTCAATGCAAACACCATGATGCGAGATATAAGCCTCGTTGCCATGTCTTCGAGACTCAACCGAGGCTGACAAAGGTTTAACATGGATGGACCAAAGACAGGACGCAGTAGGTCGCAATGAAAAATCCTTTTTGTCAGACAAAAATTCTATTACTTCATTTGAGCAACTTGAATTTTGTCCAATCAGATGAACGAACTGCAGGTTTCACTTGTAAGATCCATCTGCGGGACATTGCGAACATCCCACAAACATGGAACGGCAGCATGACGAGGGCTTCAGCCTCCTAGAAGACCACGAAATCGACGAGGCGAAGCGGTTCACGCCTTCACACAACCCATGCCGACGCTCAAGCGCGCGCCCAGCATGGTGCCATATCCTCCGCCGTCGGCGAATTGCCCTCGTTCTGTTGTTTGTCACATTCCTCATTGGTGTCGGCGTCGTCCTCGTCACGCTGGTCCTCAAACTGAAGGACACGACGGTGGTATTGCAAAGGCTGCATTTACCTGACGTGTGCAACAAGACGTCGTTGGGTGCAGCAACACTGGAATTCAGCAACCCGTCGTACTGCCAACCCGTGATCGGGCCCATTGCCGTCGTTGTCGACGCCGCCAACGGCAACAGTTCAACGAGGTTACTGAATATCGCTGTTCCTGAGTTTCCACTTGCTTCAGGCTCGTCCGTAGTTACGTCGAGCATTACATTCTCCATCGTTGCGAACGCGTCGACGTGGCAGGAGGTGCTCTTCTCGAGCCCAGCACCACCGACGTTGTCTATGACCGGCCACATTCCCGTCCGTCTGTCGTGCTTACTGGTGCCGATCACTGTGATTCTAGACATCCATGACGTGCTTCATGAGCCGTCGTCGGCGTCTTTCTCGTTGTCTGCGCTTTTCACTCGCGCGCTCTTCCAGCCCTTCGCCTCGCCAACGGACGGCGACAGCTTTGACATTGCCGCCCGAGTGCGCCAGATGATTCATGACATTTTTCAGTCCATTGCTCTCTCCGAAGGTCATTTGGAGCAGGACAAAGACGGCGTGTATCTCTTCACAGACGTCACGTTCCAGTACTCGTCCAGCATCCAATGGTCCCTCCCCGACTTGAGTTTCCAACTCATCGAGTCGAACGCTGCCAACACAACCAAGTCGAATGCAACGATCTTGACCGCGGCGCTCTACGGCTTCACGCTCGGCGCTGGCGCCACGCACTTGGATTCGTTTGCGTACCTCCGCCACGCCGACTCGCAGCCACTCCTGGATGCCGTCACAACCTACCTCCGCGGCGACGATGTCCATCTCCAAGTTGTCGGCAACGACCCGCTCTCGGCGTGCTTTGCCCAGCGTCTGTGGAACGACATGCACTACTCGTTCAAGATCCCCGGCACCATGGACGGCAAACCTGCGTTCTTGCGGCAGTACACCTTGGACCCGACCCTCAAGAAGCTCGACTCGACAACGCACACTTGCGACCTCCGAGTCGACGTCAACTTGACCATCCACAACCCGTTGCCGTTCGAGCTGGTCCTGCGGCACGTTCAGTTCGACGTGCTGTATCGGAACGTGAGTGAACCCCAGCACAAGCTCATGGGGACTGCCGTCGACGTCACGGCGGTCGACTGGAAGAGCCACATGGTGAACGACGTCGCGTTCAGCATTGTCGTGACCGATTTCGACGTGTGCGAAGACCTGTTGGTCCTGTTCCTGAACGATGCCCTGGCGTTTGCGATTCAGCGGGGGAACTTGACGCTCGAGTTTGCGGGGGGGAAAGCATTCGACATTCCCTTTCAAGTCGATGACATCCGCGTGCATCCGCCGCCAGACGACAGCGCCAAGATGGCGATGCCAGACATCGTGGAACAAGAGGATAGGATTCCACTCGGCAATGTTGTTGTAGCACGTTAGGAAGTCGCATGTAGTAGTAAAGTCGGCAACCTGTGTATGTGTGTTGGTTGAGATCGCCATGTGAGCACGCGCAAGTGGCGACGTCTCTGTCGGACTCTCTCTGTCGTCGTCGCGGTGTCCTGGGCTTGGTGTGGAGCCAGCTTCTGGCCTTGCACCTGGTCAATGTGGTGCGGATCGGGCAGAGTTGTTGCTCGGGCGTGGATCTCGCACTGTCGCGAGTACGAGTGTGCGTGTCGGTTAATGCTCGACTCGCTGGATTGTTGTGTCGCTGTGGTGGACGGATTCGCGCCATGGCAAACGCTGCGGATGCACGTAAATCGACCGTTACTTGTCTTTGGGCTTAAATCGATTGTACAGAGCATACGCAATCCCAGCAAGCAACCCCAAGATGATGATCCAAAGCAGAATAATGTTGCTCAGCGCCTTCCGCGCCAAGCTTCCCAAGTGAAACTTTGCCTCTTCCGTGTCGGCTCGGACGTCTTGGACGTTGGCGCGCGCTGCCTCTAGGCGTTCACGATCTCGTGCCAGGTTCTGACCAACGTTGGCACCGATTTGTTCGATTTCCACGATCGTCGCGGTCGCTTGCGCGAGGTGGTTGCCCGTGCGGTTCAAGCGTTGTTGGTACCCCTCGCTCGTCGTTGCACCAGTAGGAGCTCGCGATTGCGCTTGGCCAACCAAGAGAGCCTTGTTCAAGTTGTTCTTGAGTTTGTCAATGTCGGATTGGCATGACCGCAGCTGTACTTGCATTTTGCGCTTTTCATGTGCGTTGCCCCCACGTCTCTCTTGCTCGAGGATATGGAAGTACCTTTCGGCCTCGGCGATCTTTGCCTTTGCGTCGTTCTCGAGGACATCTTTCTCCCCACTGCTCGTGACATCAGGCACGCGCCGGATTACCGACATCGCGTCGTTGCGCGCGTCCTTGAACGACTCGTAGAACTCCTGGAAGCTGTCCGTCATGTCGGTTCCTCACGGCGCGACTACTCGAAAACGAATCCTTGGGCACCTCTGCGTACCCGCCCATGTTCCGCATACTTTAATGAAGTCAAAAGCGTACCCGGATCCGAATCGCCCCGACCAACTTCAACATGGGTACAATCGAATTGAGGGATTGCACACGCCGAGGGATCTCTCATGCGCTGCGCCGATCCCGTGGGGAGATGTGCTAGCTTGCGCATATGGCTCGGTTCTGTCGGTACCACATCGGGATGACATTGCTTGTGTTCTGAGCTGGTCTTGATCGGAGAATGCCTCCGAAGTTGCGGAAGCGGCACAAGGGCGTAGGCAACGTCTTCGTCAACGATGCCTTCGTCCACGGGGTTCGTTGCCTAGTTCTCCTCGCGATTCGGTCCTGATTCCATGGAGGCTTTGCATTCACAGGGTGATGCTTCGCCTTGGTGCCAGGACATCATGGCCGTGTGTCCGTTCGACCCGACGTGCACTGCGATCGAACTCTCATGCATTCACATTGCAAGGAGGATAACTATTAGAGCACACCTGCCTTCTTGAGCAGGACCAAGACGATGGCCAACACGAGGCACACGATTATCACCCACAACAGCACGATGTTCGCGTACGTCTTTCGCGCCAGACTGCTAAGGTGAGCTCCCGCTTCCTGCGTGTCGGCGCGGGTTTCATGCACATTCTCCCGCGCGCGCTCTAGAATTTCGCGGTCGCGCGCGAGGTTGTTGTTGATGTTGGCGCCGATCGCCTCGGTTTCCCCAATGATGTTCTTCGCTTCGTTCAAGTATCCACCCGTACGATCCATGCGCTCTTGATACGCTGCCGCTTGGCTTTGGGCGTCCATGGGAGCCCCGCCAGTGCCGACAGTCGCACGTTGTTGCGCTTGACCGACCAACAGCGCTTTGTTCAAGTTGTTCCTGAGCTTTTCAATGTCCGAAGTGCATGATCGCAGCTGCGTTTGCATCTTGCGCTTCTGTTGGGCATCGCCGCCCATGCCCTCCTGTTGAAGGATGCGCAAATACCGCTCGACTTCTTCCAACTTGCTGCGGACTTCGCGTTCAAGGCTGTCCTTCTGCGACGGAGACGCATCCGGGATAGAGCGAATGACGCTCATCGTTTCATTGCGCAACTCCTTGAACGTGTCGTAGTACTCTTGGAAGCTCTCGGTCATGATGGACGGAAGTCGGCGGCAGCGAGTGGCTCGACTTGGCGCTCCCGTTCTGAACACGAAGTCACACGGCTGCCACCATCACTCTCAGCAAACCCGCCCGAAGACGACACTTACCCGCCCAGACCGCCCGCCACCTCCGCGCAGACACTCGAGAGGAAGATGCCCATACCGCATATCGGAGACACTTGCGGAAGAAGGCAAGCTGCTGAGACCCAGGGGCACTAGCGTGTGTGGATATCGTTCACTCATCGTCGAGCATGCTGGATCAAAGAGAGATGACGTCGTAACATACCACCGCATGCACTTGGCTGAAGCACAACACACTCAATATCATCTCTACCTGGTCCCATCAGAGAGCTTGAGGTTTCACCCGACTCGCGGTTGTAGGGTACATCGACGACTACATCTGGGAGGCCTTGGACACAGAGGTAAGCAGAGGCGACCCTTGGAGCTTGCACGAGCTGGCAGGTGAATCCAGTTCGGATTGCACCCTCGCTTCTGTGGAGCGCGGAGTTGCGGCTTCCACGACGCGCCGCACCCATCATGGTCTGCTTGCGACAGAACGAACCCACTTCACTGAGATGCGAAGGATGAGCAGACCCCTATGACCAGCCCGTTTGGCTTTTCCAAGAACACTCAAAGTACCATCAGCGGTCGTTCCATTCCCGCCCATGCGACCACAGGTCCCAAAGTACCTGAATGCCACCCCTGTATACTAGCTCGTTCACGTTACTTCGATGTGCTTTTGGTCTTTATCGAGCTCTTCTAAAACCTTGAGTACAAGTTGATGCCAATCGCCTCAGCCAGACCGAAACCCCACAACACTACGATGTTAGCTCCGTGCGAGACAGCTCAAGCACATACCCGTTTCCTTTGTGTCGGCGCGAGTCTCGCGCAAACTTTCCCGGGCTTGCTCCACGATTTCTCGGTCCCGTATCATACTGTTGTTGCTGTTGGTCACAGTCGGTTCGATTCCCCCGATGCTTTTCATTTCGTCGTTCTCGTATGTCCCCGTCCAGTCCATGCGCTCCTGGTACGCTCCAGCGCATGGGTTGTCATCGGTTGATGAGATGGATCCACCAGCAGCGCCTTGTTCAGATTGTTCCTGAGTTTGCCCATGCTCGATGCGCGGCAGCCACGCCTTGCATCTTGGCCCTTGTCGGGCGTTGCCGATGTGCTGCTGGTGTACCGATGTGCAGATGCTGTTCCGCTTCGTCAATCTTTGCGCGGACGTTGTGTTCTACGCTACGCTTGTTCTGACGGATAGGCGTCTGGGATGGCGATTGATCAAGATCATGACTTCATGGCGATGGCCCTTGCGAGTGTTTTCGTGCGCCTGGAAGCACTGATGTTGTTAACATTACTCTGGTGCACAAGATTGTCATCCATGCTGTCCATGTCCGACCTTCGACACACCCGCCTTGCTCTGTACTTTATTTCGCTCAGACCTTCGTCCCACAACGCACCACACGGTGCCTTACATCTCCAAGGACGTCGCGGCAAGTCAGCTCGAAGACCATTGCTGCGTGAAGGTCACTAACTCACTGGAAGACGAAGTAGATGGGAGAGATCGTCGGCGGCACCGCCCACGTTGCGCACATTTCGGGCGGGTATCCGTTGGGCAGCAGCCAGTGCACATGTTGGTAATGCAGATAGTGTATTGGACAATATTCAAGCAATATCCACTGTTTTAGACTACATTCTAACCAATAGAAATGCTTGCTTATGTCTGCAATCGAACGGAATGCTTCGAGACGACACAACTTCTCCATGGGAAGTTCCCACGAGCACTGAGTCGCACTTGCATGAGAAGAAAGAGTGAATATGCATCTATAAACGTAGAAGCCGGCATCATAGCACCTTTGTACAGGTACGTACGTGTGGTGTATCGAGGTCACAGCAATTCAAAAGTGTGGTCGGTTCACGTCCTCGGTCGACCGACAAAACGGGAAGATTCCAGATTTCCCAACTTGAGTAGCCTTGTCGTTACAACAATATTATATACAAATATGAAGTTTAGAATATCCCATCAACACCATTGAATACGGGAAAATGCCCAATACGTGAGAGATTTGATCCCGTTCAACCAATTTGTCGAATGTTTCCCAATCTTAAGCTCAAGAGTTTGGCATCCGAATCGTGTCGGCTCAATCGGTCCGATGGCGCCTAGGCACACGAAGCTGTACGATGTCATGGGTGTGGCCCCGAATGTCACGCAAGAGGAACTGAAGAAGGCGTACCGCCGCAAGGCTCTTCAGTTGCATCCCGACAAGCGCGGCAACACGCCGGAAGCACAGGAGGAGTTCACCATCATGAAGTCCGCGTACGACATCTTGAGCGACCCGAAGCAACGTGACATCTACGACATGATGGGCGAAGACGGCGTGAAGCTCGTCCATCAGTACGGTGACTTGCGCCCCGACGAGCTCCTTGTGGCAATGCTGAACTCGCTCGCTCAGTCGGGGCCGTTGGGCAAGTGCATCATCTTTTCGTTCGTCGCCGTGTTCGTCGGGTTCTTCATCCTCATTCCCCGTACGTGATTCAGCTCTCCCGTCGACTGCATATTCACTCACTTGGTCGCAGTGTTCGTGTGTTTAAAGGTCGACCAGGACATCGGGTGGTCGTGGTTGACCGTGTTCACGCCCATGTGGATCCTCGATGGGATCTTCTTGTGCTGCGTCGGATGCTCAATCTTTGAACAAGACCCTGACATCCACCAAGACACTGAGCACCGCCCGTCACCGTTCGTGCGCATCGTCCTCAAGCTGTTCGTCCCTTCCATCTCCCTCTCCATACATTTCACCTTGAGGTGGTGCTTGCTGTTGTCGTAGTTTGCTCCTGCTCAAGGGCCTTGCCTTCGTTGGCTTCCAGCTCCTTGTCGCTATGAAGCTCCAAGGCGGCATTCCCAACATCGACGTGCCCATCGTGTTTGCACCGTATTTTGTCCTGGAAGGATTCTACCTCGTCGAGAAGATCATTGCGGGCATCCTGTCGTATTCAGCGTTTGCCGCGGCGACGGCGGCCGGTCCGTCTGTCGGTACAGGCCAGTCTCGTGCGACTTTGGTACGTGAAACAATCCGTCGTTCCTGACGCGTGTTTGGGCGCCTAGGTGCTGGAAATCGTCAACTCGTGGGTCATGAGTGTGCTGCGCCTCGCGTTTGGTGTCCTCGTAGCATTCAAGTTGGACGATGCCCTGGACATTTCGTGGTGGGTCGCCTTCGTTCCCGTGTGGATTTACACCGCCACGCTCGTCGTCCCGCATGTACGTATCCCCCTCTGGTCGGCCTCTTGTGGCCGCAAATTTGCCCATGCTTGTTTGTTGCGTCCGCTGCGTCGACGGCGCGCCGATGCACCTTCCCTTTGACATGGGAAACGTGCACTTCACGTTCAGGCTGCATGCCACAACGCGTGTCCATGGCGCGTTGGCATTCATCGCGACGGGCTGTGTGCCTCACTAATGAGACCTGTACAAATGACGCTAGGTGTTGGCCTACGTGCGCCACAAAAAGACGGCGCCATCTACCAACAGCGCCGACGATACTTCGGCAGGTCCTTCCCTCGGTGGCCTCTTGTGCTTGATCGTTGGCACATTGGTATTCATGTCGCCCTTCTTCATCCTGGCCTACCGGTTGCAATCGGGCGACTTTTCGTCCTTTTACGTGCTCTTGCCGTGGCTCATCGTGGTTGGTTAAAACGGCACACTCACACGATCGATCCTCATGCGCGCTTTGTGCTAGGTCGGACTCGTCCTCCTGCCGTGGATCCTCATGGTGTTCTGCGGGCTCCTCTCGTGCTTTTGCCAGTGCTGTTGTAGCCATCGTAGCCACGACGGCGGCGAAGAAACCAGCGACAAGGCCACCCCAAAGGCCAACCACGCCCCCACGAACCACGTCGTGTAGTAGTGTCGTGGCCTCCGACTGCGGCCGGATATCTTCATCATGGCACTGTCCTGGCCCATGGTCACCCCTACCATGCGTGCAAACATCCCGACATGAGAGTTCAAATACGCTTTTATAAGTTGAATATGGACGGCCGATTCCTAGACCGTAGTTATGGCGCTGCTTGGACCAGAGACAGCCGCGGCGACGGCGCCGTCAATCGCTGCTGTGCTCTTCTAAACTGTAGCAGCTGTCCGAGTCGTACTCGTTGCCGTCATGGGCCAATATAAAGTCCAAAGTCATGCGGCTCGACCCGTCTGCCCTCGGATGGTTGTCGTCGCGGTGGTCGTGGTTGTGTGGGCTGTTGTTATGGCTGCCATCGCTGCTGCTATCGACGTGCTGCCACCGTCGCGTCGGAGACAACAAGTGCGGTTGCCCCAATGTCGAGTTGGCCGTGTAGCTCTGGTATTGTGGACTCGGATCGTGGAAGTGGTAGTTGGACGGTGGTGCGCCGCCGCCACTCGGTTGCGATTGCTTGGACCGCTTCTTGGTCTCGCTCTTCCGCTGCGACTCGTTGGCTTTTTCGCGGTGGTCGTTGCACAGGCGATGGAGGGTTCCATCTCGTTTGACGCCGCGGAGGTTGCGGCACTTGTTGGTTTTGTACAGGCAGTAGTAGTCGCCTGTCGTCGGCGCGTGCAGGGTCATGGCATCCAGTTTGGGCAGGAGCATGGGAGGGTGGTGGTGCGGCGCTGCGTGCACGTGGTTGTGGTACAGCTGGTTCTCCATGGCGCGTGAAATTGAAATGTGGGATGATGGATTATCATGCGCGTCGTTCCGTGTCGTAACCTCGACGACAAACGGACGCGGCGGAGATGGGAACGTTACCGCACGACGAGAGAACGCGATGCACGCGAATCGATTGGCATCCCAAGCGCCACTTCCACCATTACGCCGTAAAGAACGCCGGACGATCTCGCCCGTGCGAGATTGGCACTTGAGACTGAACCGACGAGGTCGTCGACGATAGCGTAACACGACCAAGAAGGCCGGCAGCCACTTTCAAGTATCTCGCTCTGATTGTGGGGTCGACGCGATCCGTCCAGATGCACGTGGCGACCATCGATAGCTGGACTCTGACTCTCGAATGGTATGCGCCGTGTTCAGTGCTTGCTGCCCACACACGTTCCCATGCCAACGACGACAGACGTCTCCCCTCTGTCCTCAGACATCACCCAACACGACGCTAGCAACCCCGTTTCTAACACCCCTCCAAGTCTACCTGCAGAGCGTTCCACTCCAGCGATGGTGCGTCGTCTTCCCTGAAAAAACACGCCTGGGTTCATCATGATCTGATGGTCCATCAGCCCGCATGAGGCGACGCAAGCGCAGCCGGAAGGTGGCGAAAGGATGAAAACAATGAACCAATCAGAGTACATAATCTTGTGAATATTAGCCAATGAAAGTCTAGTATCCCTTTCTAGAACGCTATGGCCCACCACGCGCGCGAGACTTCATTTGAATTTCGCCATGTTGCGCTCGTCACTTCAACGAACTGCCGTGTCCATCGCTGGGAAGGCGGCGTTTCCCCGCAACTTGCACCATGCCACGTTTCGCGCGCTATCATCCATGAACGCACAGCCCCTGACGTCCTCTGTTGCGTCTCGACGCATGCCGACTTTGATGGTGCGGGCATTTTCGACGGCCGATTCGACTCCAGGTACAAAACAAGCGCACGCCAACCGTACACCACGCACGAATTGACTGTGGGAAAATGTAGTTGACCGCCATGAGTTCCAAGCCGAGACTCGTCAATTGCTCGACATTGTCACGCACTCGATCTACACGGACAAGGAAGTGTTTGTCCGCGAATTGATCTCGAACGCGTCCGACGCGTTGGAAAAATTTCGACACCACCAGGTTAGTGAGTGCGCGTCTACGCTCTAACGGTGTCGTCCTTGCCTCACCGCATGACTGTGCATTAGGCTGTTGGCGCGACGTTGTTGACACCGGAAATTGAACCGAAGATTGTCATCACGACCGACGTTGCGGCCAACACGTTGACGATTGAAGACACGGGTGTCGGTATGTCCAAGGAAGAGCTTGTGCAAAATCTCGGCACGATTGCGCGCTCGGGGTCGAAGGCGTTCTTGGAGCAATTGAAGAAAGAGGTACCTACCTGTACAGAAACGACGCTTCTTCGTCGATGCCTCGACTCATTCGACATCCAAACGCAGGCTCCCACGGAAACGACGGCGGCCGCGACGGGCATCATCGGGAAGTTCGGTGTCGGGTTTTACTCTGCTTTCATGGTTGCCGACAAGGTCGAAGTGTATTCAGCGTCGGCGCTTGGTGACGGTTCGGGCCATGTTTGGACATCTGACGGGTGCGTTCGCTATGCTCATGGAATATGGTGTGAACAATGGCATACCTGCAACCACAACTTGAACTCTAAGCGTTCCACCGACGATTGATTCCTGTTCAAGCGCATGACGTGTACTTTGTCTGGCGCATGTTTAGTTCTGGGTCGTTTGAAGTTCGAGCTGTCAACAACGCCGGCCGCGGTTCCAAGATCGTCATGCACATGAAGGAATCGTGCAAGGACTTTGCCAAGCCGGAACGTGTGGAGTCCATTATCAAGAAGTACTCCAACTTTGTCGCGTTCCCGATTTTGTTGAACGGGACAGAGGTGAACGTCGTCCAAGCGTTGTGGACCAAGGACTCGAAGGACGTGACGGACGAGCAGTACACGGAGTTTTATAAGTTTATCGCGAACGCGTTCGACGATCCCCTCTACCGCCTCCACTTCAAGGCCGACGCGCCGTTGGAGCTCAAGACGTTGTTCTTTATTGGGTCGACCCACACTGAGAAGTTTGGCTACGCTCGCCTTGAACCCGGGGTATGCCGCGCTCCACACAAGGACGAGCAACTGACGGGGGCATCTAGGTCAGTTTGTACTCGCGCAAGGTCCTGATTGAGCGTCACTCGCCCGACATCTTGCCGGACTGGATGCGCTTTGTCCGCGGGGTCGTCGACAGCGAAGACCTGCCGCTGAGCTTGAGCCGTGAAAAGATGCAAGACTCTCGTCTTCTTGCCAAAATGAAGGACGTGCTCACGCGCCGCATCCTGAAGTTCCTCGATGAACAAGCGCGCAAGGAACCGGAAAAATTCGACAAATTCTTTGCCGAGTTTGGCCAATTTATCAAGGAAGGCGTGTGTATGGACTTTCAGAACAAGGTATGTGTTAGCACCGTCGGTATTCTCTTTGTGTATCGCATGGCATGACGGAATCCCTCCGCTCTTGTTGTGTGCGCCACTTCTGGATTCCTTGCGATCGGGGGCGTCGTCGGTCGTCCTGTAGCAAACCCAATTGCACGACGCTAGTGATACTGCTGTGCTCATCCCGAGCTTATCTCCATCTGGATCATGGACGGAGTTTGCCTGCATGGGGTCGTGTGCTTGGCGGTAGTTTCGCGCCTTGCTGTTGATGCGGACGAAGAGTTTGGCGTGTTGATGGTTGAGAATGTTGCCGTAGTCGACTCATGGATTGCTTATATTCACTTAGGCTGGTTTGAGCAAGTTGCTGCGCTATGAATCGTCGGCGCTGGACGCAGGCAAGACCACGTCGTTGGACGAATATGTGTCGCGGTCCTCTCCTGATCAGAACGAAATTTATTACCTCTGCGCTCCTTCGCGCGAACTGGCGCTCCAATCGCCCTACTACGAAGCGTTCAAGTACGTTGCATGTGGTATACTCCAGTGGCGTTATGGGCGACGAGCGTAGGAAGACCAAGAAGGAAGTGCTGCTCGTGTACCATTCCATGGACGACTTTGTCATGAACAGCGTCGGCGAATTCAACTCGCGCAAGGTCGTGTCGGCTGAAGCCGCCAAGTTGGACGTCCAAGAGGTGTGTCTCGCGTTCTGATTGACGTCGAAAATGTGCGTCGACTGTTCGGCTCAACCGTGACCGCAGGACTCGGAACACGGCGAGAAACTCAGCGACGAAGACGCCAACCTGCTCACGGCGTGGCTTGGGCTCAAGCTCGAATCCAGCGTTACCAAGGTCGAAATCACCAACCGCTTGCACGACTCGCCCGCAGTCGTGACGGATCACGAATCTGCTTCCGTTCGTCGGTACGAACTGTCGTAACCTCTCAAAAAATCTTGTGTTCACCATCGTTGTAGCATGATGCAAATGGTCAACCAGACCCAAGGCGGCAGTGCCGTCATGCCTGCCTCCAAGCACGTGCTGCAAATCAACCCCCGCCACCCGATCGTGGTCAAATTGAACCAGTTGCGCACGACCAACGAAGAGTTGGCGGCGAAAGTTGCGGCCCAAGTCCACACAAACGCGTGCTTGTCAGCCGGGCTCGTTGAAGACGGTCGTGTCATGATCGGAGACCTCAACTACCTCTTGGAGGAACTCTTGACCCACAGCCTCAAGAATTAGACTTCCATGCTTCTAGAATCGCAATTCTCCGTCCCCACCTCGTCGATTTGTTTCTTGGTCGCGCTCCGTGGATGGTTTCGCCAAACCTCTCTGCCAGCGCTTCTCGTCGCGCATTTACACTCCCACCACAATGCAACACCGTGGAAAAAAACCCAATATCAGCCAAACTCACCCGCATCGCCGTCGCAGGACGACGTCCGTGCTGGGTGACGTGTTTGGCCAACAGTGAAGCGACGAACCCATGCCACTTCTATCGTCATCGACCACAAGTTGGTGCAGTGGCGCTCGCCAGCGCAGGAAGTTTTTTTCGCACACTCGCTCGCCATGCGAATCGTTGGTGTGGTGGTTGCTGCAGCAAACGTGCGTGCGGAGACATGTGAGATTAGCGAATTGCGTCGCCGACACCACGGTCATGCCACTGTACCAAGGCAAAAAGTGTGTGCGTTCGTCCTTCTACAAAGTCTCATCCAGTCGCGATTGCCTGAGACCTCGGACGGCCGCGGCATCGCCATGGCGCAGTCCAAAAAAGCGTGAGGTGATCGCGTCGAACGGGCGCGTGGACTCCCGTGAAAACAGTGTGGGTTGGGTAACCGCTCGCACTTGTTTTCCAGACTTTGCCATGATCGTGTGCCAAACTCCTCACGACGGCATCCCCCTCTCATGTCAGTCCTGCCAACGCATACATGGAGCCCACCCCGCCGCCCGATGCGGCCGTGAAAAGCCATATTCGTCGAGGAAGTTACGTCGAAATGTACGAGTGCTTAAAGTCTTCTCGCGTGTTGGACTTGTCAATGTACGAGTGGGGCTTGAAATGTTCCGCCTGGATGAGTTCCGCCAGCATCGGCGCGACACTGAGGCGCTTCACTTTGGACGAATGGTACCGCCCCGCCTCGGACGGAATCGTGTCCATCACAACGACTTCGTGCACTGCGCTTTCATCGATCGACTTTTCCGCGTCACCCGTCATGAGCGGATGCGATGCAAAGCCAAACGACCGCCGAGCACCGGCATCCTTGACCACTTTCGCCAACTTGACCAGCGTCCCGGACGTGTCGACCATGTCGTCAACCACAATCACTTCGGCGCCTTGGACGTCCCCAATCAGCTGAATGTCATCGGGCTCGTCGCCGCTTGCGCCACCGCGAATGCACGTTGCAAACGTGATCGGGATGTCGGGCAGCCACTTGCGCAAGCCTCGCTGGAACACACGCGCGCGCTTGACGCACTCGGGATTGGGAGCCAGCACCACAATTGGCCCCTTGAAATACACCTAACGACACAAGGATGAGCACGACGAGCATGGCGGCTGGTCGGCAATTCAAAAGGAAGGCGGTACGCCACTGGAAGTACGAAAGCTTGGATGCTCGACAATCACAGATTCGGAACGTGCTGGAGACACGTCATTTTCAGCCGGATGGCTGTGCATGAATGTCCAGGAAATCGACGTCAACCATGCATCCACGAAGGCGAAGAATCGCCTGGGACGATTCAATCGAGGGGACCACAGCAACTTGAATCCACGATGGAGATATAAAGATGGAAAGCGAACCTGGGTAGCAAAGTATTCGACGCCGGCCATCACGGTTTCCAGCGTCTCGACGGGGATGTTGGTATTGAAGAAGCTGGCTTCATGGCCTTGGCCGCGAAGCTGCAAGTCGACAGCGATGACACGGTCGACGCCCATCACCTCCAACATCTTGGCAATGTCTTGCGCAGGGCTGTGGATGAACTTGGAGTTCAAGCTGGTCGCGCTCGGGTTGCCGCGGCGGTGGTGCTTGTACGCATAATACGGGATCACAGTCGTTACTTTCTTCGCCGACGCACGGCGCATGGTGCTGACCATGAGCAACAGTTCGATCACGTTGTCGTTTACGGGCGTGCCTAGGGATTGCACGATGTACACGTCTTTGCCGCGGACGCTTTCTTGGATTTGGCACTGCACTTCGCCATCGGCAAAGCGGCCCAGCTTGAGCCGGGCCACACGCGTGCCAAGACGACGCGCGATGTCGTCCGCAAGCTCAAAGTTGGACGATCCGCTGAAGATCTTGAGTTCATGGCACCCTGGGATGAACATGCCAGCATGCGTGCACGGGTGCTTGTCCGACGGAAAAAAAGGCGAGAACGGGTCGACACGCTTGCGGTCGCGGGGAACACCGAACTCAATGTCCCGAAGATTCGTCTCGTCTTCAGAACGAGCTGGGGATTTGTAAGCGCCAAGGGTGAAGCCGAGGCCGGCGGCCGTGAACGCCAACGCGCCCGACACACGATCCAAGCGCAGCATGATGATGGCACGACTCAACTGTTTGTTGTGTGCGTTCCACTCGCATTTTAGGATTCGATTGAAGAAATATTGTGTTTTCATTGGCTGCTGGACAACCTTTTAGCCAATGAAACATCGCAGCTTCGCCACCACAGAATGAATGCACCCCCCATTCAAAATTACCATTTTACCAACATACATATATCCAGTTACGCAGTAGAATTTTTTTATATGCAGTGCTTGGACGAAATCTTCCGCACCTCCAACCAATATGTCGTCTGGCCGTCTGTTTTTTGCCAAGCTCAGAAAGATAGCTGGTGTATACATCACGCAAGGAGGCCGGTACATACGGCCTTTTGCATAGTAGCTATCTAACGAAAGGATTGGGCTTTGAAAATTAACCGGCCTCCGGTTGTTGCCCACAGCCATGTTGAAAGAAGGAAATAAAACTCGTAATCCTGGCAATATCATGAAAATCGTGATTATTCAGTACTATCTATCGAAATGCTCAATATCGCCATGAACTGAAAGGGATATTTTGACCGGGTTTGAACATCGCGCGTTGAAACGCGCCGCGAGTGCTTCGCAACAAAAGGATGGACCGCCCTGCACAGACGACGTGCACATCTGAGCAACTTTTTCAACATGCCAAGGCGTCAAACATCCGTGGCTACAAGAATCTCATGCAGCTCTATCGAGACGTCACAGGCATCGCCTTCCTCGACTTACCGGACAAGAAAAACGTGTCCGCCACGGCTGCCCGCCTTCGCGAGTTTGATGCGAACGCAACACGCGAAGTTGTCGAGCACACGGGCATTGCCATGTTCACGGCATATACGACAGATTACTCTGTAGGATATGCCTGCGACACGGTGAATCGCATGTATGCCGCGCGACACGGGTACGAGTTCCACAGCGACGTGCTGCCGTACGACGCGATGATGGGTGCAATATCCCCTCGGCAGTTTTGCGGGTGGTACAAAGTGTTGATGATTCAGCGATTCCTGGCCGACATGGACGAATTGCGTCGCCGTCAGATCGGGTACCTCATGTGGATCGACGCCGATGCGGTCGTGGTAAACCAGGCGTACCAAGTTGAGCGCCTCCTACAGCGCTCTGGGTATCGCGGTACGTACATTAGCCGGCATTGCATGGCGAGTATGACCATGCTATCGTGCATCTAGACCTCATCATCTCCGAAGATGTGAACCCATGCTGCCTCATTAACACTGGTGTGCTCTTGATCCGTGTGTCCGAGTGGAGCCGATCGCTGTGGTCCGACGTCTGGGCAGCTCGCAAGTACTTCGACGTGTTCTTCTACGAGCAGTCGGCGCTCATGCGGTGCCTCAAAATGCGACTGGAAGGGCTCGACGCGATCCAGCCCTTTCACAGCTTCGTCAAGCACGGCCCGAGAGGGGACAAGCTTTTCCCCCACACGATGGTGACATGCCACTTGGACCTGAATTCGAATCGATGCCGCGGGCTGACTGTCCACATTTCGAATGAAAACCGCACCATTGACACGAGCCACGAACGCGACGAGGAACACGAAATGGCCCGCTTCATCTTTCACTGCGCAGGTGCGGCAAACACCTCGAGCTGTTGAAACCAACCGTGTGACGATGTGCGTTTTCTTGACCGGTTGGATTCCGCCAGGGCGATGCGACAAAGCTCGGACGTTGCGCGCAGTGCTGGCTGCTCATGGCTTTGACGTACGTAAACTAGAACGAGTCGCGCTCATCATCTTTTCATGGTGTCACGCTCGTGCAATGCGGTAGGTGACGTCCTTGCCTCTCGATCGAATGAACTTGGTTCGACACTCGTCTTCAATTCGTTCGGCGGCATTGCCGCCTCCGCCCACGAACGATTGAACCGATCGCTCTGGTTCGTTTCAGTTCGTACAACCACGCGAACGTATCATATATGACAAATGGTTGGCGTTTAGATTTTCATTCGCGAAGGACCAGCGCTCACTCCGTCGCTTCGGCATCTCGCACGGGGTCCTCTTCGACGACTTCCTTGAATGACTGCTTCTTGCCCAGCTTGCGCATGCTGGCCTTTTGCATGTCTTGAATTTTCGCCACGACTTGCTTCTTGATCGGGCTCGTGTTCGCTTGGTCCTGGATCTGTTTAGCTGCTTCTATCGTGAGCGTCAAGCCTTGGGCTGCGTATCGCGCGCCGTTCTGCTTCATGTCTGCGATCCAGTTGTCGACGCACGCGCGGAGTTCCTTGAGCTTCGCGTCGATCACGGGCTCGTACTTGACGAGCAAGGGCAGAATGAATTTTTCGTAGACCCAAATTGCACCCCGGGTCTTCGGGAGCATCATCCAGATGAGGAAGATGCATTTGCACACGTAGTACCCAGGCAGGTACGACACGACCTTCTCCGCGAGTTCTTCCGCTGACGACGTGATGGAGAAGACGACCCAATACGTGAGCCACTGCTTATCGTCGTCCGTCTGGGGGGTTTCAAGTGCCTTGAAGCTAGCGTAGGCTGGGTACAACACGCCAACAGTGGTCACGACAGGTCGGGAAATCGCAGAGCCCATGATGAATGAGGAACTCAAGTGACCCAATGAACAATTCCATGCACGCGCGATTCGCGAGGTCGAAACCGTCCATTGTGTTTCACGATGTGTGTCGCGCCTATTTTAAGCAATCATTGTTCCAAGAGCTCGCTAGCTGTTCCAGTGGCATCACGTGTTCAGGGGGTTGTCACCTCCACTCTTGCCGCCGCCGCCTGCCGCGGTGCGCCGTTGACGGAGAATTTAGGCAAACCGGCCAATCACGAAAGGAATGCATCTGATTGATTGATAATGCGCAAACAATGTTGTCTGATTGGATACAGAGTTGTAGTTTCAATGAAAACACCATCTGATTGGTGAAAATGTTATCAAACGGAGGTATTTGATTAGATGGATTCGAGTTCATGGCATCAAGAGCGCACTTGATTGGACAAATATCGTGAACCAAAATCGTGCTTGCGTTGTCAGCGACGTATTTTCATGAATATTTTCACAGATTGTGCAAGTTGTTCGCACAAAAATGTCAAAAATTCGTCGCCGCTGATTCGCCAGTGCTGTCATTTGCACTCGGTGCAGTCAGCCACCACCACCATCCTGCAACCTCTGCGCCATCTCCATCGCCGCTTCACCATGTCTGCGTCCCGACCGACCTTGCGTATCCGGGGTGCGGATGACATGCACCACCACTTGCGTGACGGTGCGGCCCTCGCGCTCACGGTGCCCCAAGCGGCTGCTCAGTTCCGCAGGGCAATCGCCATGCCCAACCTTGTGCCCCCGGTCACGACTACCGCCTTGGCCATTGCGTATCGCGAGCGCATTCTCAAGCACGTGCCTGCGGGTCGTTCGTTTGAACCGTTGATGACTCTGTACATGACGGACGGCACGACCCCCGCGATCATCCGCGAGGCGAAAGCGTCCGGCGTGGTGTTCGCCGTCAAGTACTACCCTGGTACGTGACAACTGGCTGGCGCATTCAAGCGATCTGCAACGCAGTGTGGTAGCGGGAGCAACAACCAACTCGGATTCTGGTGTGACCAAGATCGAGAATATTTACCCCGCGCTGGAAGCAATGGCGGAAGTCGGGATGCCGCTTCTCGTGCACGGAGAAGTGACCGACCAGACCGTTGACATCTTCGATCGCGAGGCCGTGTTCATTCACACTGTGCTCGTCCCCTTGATCGCTCGCTTCCCCGCGTTGAAGATCGTCATGGAACACATCACGACGGCAGACGCGGTCGCGTTTGTAGCACAGGCGCCGGCCAACGTAGCCGCCACCATTACGTGCCACCATCTCCTATACAACCGCAACGGTGCGCACTTTCTTCAACACGTTTCGGTCTAACGGATCGGATGCAGCCATCTTTCAAGGCGGCCTGCGACCGCATAAGTACTGCCTCCCTGTGCTCAAGCGCGAAACCCACCGCCAGGCGTTGCTCGAGGCGGTTAAGAGCGGCAACCCCAAGTTTTTCTTGGGAACAGACAGCGCGCCGCACATTGTGGACAAGAAGCACTCGAGCTGCGGTAGGCTACGGTCGGCTGTGCAAGCTGGATAGCGTAGATGGCCATGGTTCACTCCATCGCTCCTGATAGGATGCGCGGGGATCCACACGGCCCATGCCGCGCTGGAACTGTACGCGGAAGCGTTTGAAGCCGTGGGCAGCTTGGATAAGTTTGAAGTACGTCGTCGTCGGTCCCGTGGATTCGACCGCTTCGTTGCTCGCATTGCATGTGGCATTGTGCCAAACTTGCGAATCCATCGCGTCAAATGTCGTCGAACGCTGATGAAAGCGCTGTGCAACGTAGGCCTTTTGCAGCGTGCATGGTGCGACCTTCTACGACCTTCCTCTCAATGAAGGCCCGCCCGTGGAACTCGTCCCGACGACGTGGACCGTGCCCGCATCGTACCCGTTCGAATCGAGCCAAGTCGTGCCACTCCGCGCCGGGGAGACCATTTCGTGGAAGAAACTAGACAACTAGAGGGGCTACCATGCCGCCAGGCTGCGGAAACCTGCACGTTTTGCAGCAGAGGTGTCCACTAAACATCTACCACAGCAGCACTTGTTGCGGTGGGCATTGGATTGCACCCACAGGATGCGGGCAGTTTGCTTTCGGCGTCTTTCATATCAAAGAAGGGAGTTTTGTGATGGACAAACTGCGACGTCGAACTCAATAGGGACTCGTTATCGCTTCGGCACGTGGGGATGCGTGAAGCGAACTGTCACCATGCCTCGAGCGGCATCGGAGCAAGCTCCGACTCGACGTCTGGGACAGCCAACTTGGCCTGGAGGTTATGAAAGTTGGCTTGAATTTGGGCGTTGGTCGGGTCCAGTTCGAGCGCGTGGAGGTAATAGTTTATGGCGTCGAGACGATTGCCTCTGCTTTCAGCGAGGAAGCCCGCATTCGTGAACAATGCCCCGTGTCCCGGGAACAGCTCGATCGCGGTGGCGTACAATTCGGCGGCCTTGTCCAGGTGGCCGTGCTCTTTGTGCCACACACCTGCGTTGTTGTACAGCTCCATGCAAGCCACGCCTTCGTTCAAACCTGCTTCGTGCAAACTAAACAGTTAAGGATGCTCACGCATGGCGCTCGGACAGATATGCCTCTCGTGCAAAAGGATATAAAAATCTCGCCCGCCTTGGCCATGTCGCCCGCGTTTTGCGCCGCCAGGGCCCACATGTTGTACACGCTGCAAGGCGCAACTTGCTCCTCGAGGTCGTAGCCGCGCCGCCGAACGCGATGGTTCTCTTGCAACGTTCGATTAAAGAACCTACGGCACAATGGCCATGCAGCAAATCAGTCGCTGCCCACGACGCGCCAGAGGCAGCCGTACGTGGTGGCGCCCGTGAAATCGTTGGCGTAGAACGCGATGAGCCCCCGCGTGAACCACACCGTGGGTAGGTTGTAGTTGTGTGAAATGGCCAAGTCGAGAAGCTTTTGCGACGTCACCAACGCGTGCGTCGGTCCCTCCGTTGTGACTTTGTCCCTTTGGTGCAATGCATGGAACTCATACATGTACTTGCCCAAGTACGAGTACGCCTACGCGCCCAGTCAAGCCAACGAACGGTCGAAGAAGGTGCAACTACCCCGAGGGAGTGATCGATCTCGCTCGCCTTCAGCAAGCTATCCATGCAGTGGAGGAGCTTGCCCATGTTGACGTAGGCCAGGCCCAGGTTGAGGTGGCCGATGGGATACTGGGGCAGGACGTACAGCGCCCGTTCCAAGTACGCCGCCGCTCTCGGCGCGTCCGAGTTGAGGAGGACCTTGGACAGGTTGCTCAGGACTTTGGTGCTCCACGGCGCGACCTTGACCGACGCCTCGAACAGAGCAGTTTCGTCAGCCCAGTCCAGGTTGCGCGAGATTGTTCGTGCGGCAGCAGCGACCAGCAGCGCTGCAACCAGTCCGAGCAATGCCAAGTGCTGGACCCGGGAGGCTCGTTGGATCGCCATATCCAGCGTGAATCCGACGAGAAAACTCACACCGACACTCGGAAAGTAGAGCAAGCGCTCGGCGACAATCGTGCCGACTGGAAAGAGCACGTTTGCAGCAGGTACAAAAGGAAAGATCGCAAACGATGCCATGACCAAGACCGACGGGCGCGACCGCCATTGCCGCAGTGCCACTACGGCCAGGGCTGTGACGCAACCGTACGCGAGGATGGTCAACAAGTTGCGAGGGTCCGCCACCGACGTAATGATCGGGATTGTTTTGAACCCGTAGTCGTAGCTCAGGTAATGGGGCCATGCCATTTTGTACAGGTACCATGCATGTGTATGGGCAATCGTGAGCGCCTTCGGAAGCCCGAGCGGCAACAGTGAGATATCGTTCTCCATTTCAGTCCACTTGTACAGCACCGTCGGGCCGTTCAGGAGCACCCGCGCAGCAATGGCGCACACCCCGAACGTGACGAGGAGACCCAAACGAAATGGTGGCGTGTACGCGATCGTGGGATGCTGGCGGAGCTGCAACAGCTCCAGCACGACCAAGATCGCCACGGTCGTCGCCCCCAACTCTTTGCACATGGTAGCTGTACAGGGTGTGAGGTAAACTAGTTCCGAGAATAAGCACACAGCGAAGAACGCACCGAGAACAATTAAGCTGATTGCCGTGCCAAAGTACATCCAGTTGGCCTTTGTATGTCCAGCCATTGCGTTTTGGTACACTAGCACGGCAACGAGCGACACCAACGTGCACAGCACGTCGGCACGCCCGACAACGCTTGCGACAGAGTCGCAGTGAATCGGATGAACGGCAAAGACGAGACCTGCTAAGACAGGGGCTCGAACCTGTTGCGACGCTCGCGGGTACGCTGTGACTCGACGGCCGACCACCACCACCAGCGCCGACGTTATAGCGTGGAGCAAAACGTTGACAAAGTGATACCCCCACGGGTCGAATGCGCCGATAGCATGGTTGAGGCGAAACGACAGCACCGTGATAGGGCGAAAGCTTTTGTGGCTTGACGGCGACGTGATCGGCGTGCCCCAAAAGTCGTGGTGGAAAAGATCGGCGATGGTGGTCGTGTCGTCCGAGCGAATGTCACGATTCGTGAGAATGGCGGCCCGATCGTCCCAGACAAACCCGCACGACAACGTGTTAGCAAAGACTGCAAAGGCCAACGCCACCACGTAGAGAACGGGTTGCGAGCCTTGCCATAGAGGCGACGGCGCACTCTTCATCACGCTTTCAATCGTGAACTACAATACTGTCGAAAGATATCATGGCGAATTCATGGATGTGATTGGTGGATTTGGTGGATTATAGGCCAATCAAAATCCACGATTACCAACAGTTGCGATCTTTTATCGGGCGGGGACTTTGCGCCGGCGGCGGACCCTTGGCAAGTGGAATGGCAACAAGCAGCTAACCTTGACTCTATGACACTGCGTCTGCCCCATCTCTCGATGGATACACGGCATATGTATCCATCACACGTTTCGCGACGGATGTAAGACTACCACTGTGCTGATGCTGTCGCCGATGGGCTGCTTGACCCGCAGCATGATGTTGTCGATCAACGGCACGTGCGTCGAAAGTGCGTCCGGGTGAGGTTAACTACTGGCAAAGGCGACCCGCGTGAGGGACAATGCTCTATTGGGACCAGCGCACGACCCATGGCGTAGCGATCAAGTGTTATTCAACGTAGGCATGGCAGGTTGTTCAACGTCCACTGTGAGTGCTGTGCTACTGAGTGATGGTGACTGCCCAATGCGTCACGATTCAGGAGTTGCTGCCAGGTCAAACTCGATGGGGTCGCGGTTGCTCCACAAGCTGGCCCACGCAATCTCTTTCGTCGAGTAGTGCACGCCTTGCGCTGCCACGAAAGCTTCGATCGTGCGCACTCGTCCAAGACCACATGGACCCTCGTCGCCTTCTTTTAGCATCTTCAACACTCGCTGGATCGACCTTTGCTGCGCTTCTGTTCCATTTCGCTGGTGGTCCCGAAACGTTGGTCGGTGGCTACGGGACCACAAATGGTACACGACTGCCTCAGTCGGGGCAAAGAAGTCGTAGCCATGGGTCCACAGTCGCGCCGCCATGACGTTCTCTTCGCCAAAGAACAGATGCGTCAGAGATGGATCGTACATCACCTAGGAGCGCGTATCCATCCTTGAATGATGACGATGCAAACCAGCAGCAGCCTTCACCTCTTGGAGAACAGTCGCGCGCGAAAAGGCGAACCCTGCCGCCCAAAACATGGATGGGATCGGCCTACAGCTCCATGTGCGCACGGCCAGGCGATTGCAAACGACGTACTTGGATGGAGACGTCTTGAGGACTTTGCTACATTGCCGAACGAGACCGTTCGAATCGAAATGCGACGCACACAGTAGCGTCGGTCGAATATCGCGTGTAATCTAGACCAGAGTCCGTCACCTCATGCGCAGAACCCATACGTTGACCAGCCCAAAGCTTCAGGGCATTCAACCGTCATGCGGGCACCGACCTGATTTGGTAGATTGTAGCCGAGTGGATACGTGGTCAGAATTGCCCGGGGACTGCTGCATTGACTCAGTTCGTGAATCAAAAACACGTCCCAGCCCTGGCGAAACCTGATTCACAAGAGATTCAAGACGCATGGACAAAAGCCACAGCGTGTTGTGCATACCGCATGTGGCTATCGATTTGCAAGTAATATGGTTCGCCGCGCCACAGCTGCTGTGTCTCCCATCGAGCAAGGCACGGCCCGGTCGCGTCGGCCGGATGCATCCGCTTCACGCGAACTTGGTCGCCATATGCAGCAGCAAATGCAATGGCTTGCGCTGGATCGCCTTCGTCATGCTGGAGACAGAGTCCAGCAAACACCCTTGACGGAGCGGTGGCGGTCGCAAAGAGATGGGCCACCGTGGGTTGGCACTCGGAGTCGCAGTAACTAGGAATGGAGACAAAGATTGTCGATATCAAGTCGGGAATGGCGGGGGGTGGAAGGGCCATGCCACCACCACACAACCCAGGCGGGGGCAATGAAGCGTCGGGCGTGTGTGAACGATTCAACGTTGCTGGCGAGGCTTCGATCGTTTCAAAAGTTGCTGTGTTTGGTTTCCCAAGCGATTTTGGGATCGTTGCGGCAGTGGTGGGCACGTCCGATGGAGTCGGGCCTCCATAAAACCACGTCGTCAACGCCAAGCGGTCGACTGTGGTCGGCAAGACTTCGTGCATCACGTCGGCGCTTCGAAAGACCACGAGCGAGTCCAGCAACGGAGGAATATCCTCGTGCGATCCATCTTTCAAGTGGACTCGCAACGCCCCGCCATGCGACGGCTGCCAGTCAGCGTTCAAGTAGTACAAGCATGTGATGCGCCGACTCAGCTGGTCCTTCTTGCTGCCATACGTATCGACGTGCTGGACGAAACGCGTGTTGTTCCCTGGCTGGCACAGCACGCTGTCATGTGGGGAGTGACGTCGGATGAGCTACATACAAAGATCGCCAACTGCGTCGACTTCGCGTTGCGAAGGGCTAACTCTGGCGCGGCCTTTGCCAAGCCTAGAGCGCTCTCACGTCCATGGAGTTGTTTCCCACGGCGTGTGTCGTACCGTGTGCAAGTCGTCCAAGTTGAACCAAGAGATGCTGCACCGGTGGAGGGACATCCTTGTCATCATGCGGCAGCCACAGAAGGTGATCGCCACGAGCATCCGTCACCAGTGCAGTCACTTGATTCATTTTGCCAACCGCCACTTGGGCAGGTCGCATCGGCATGGACTCTCTCAGGGCACGGCATGCATCGAGTACTCTGGTGGCTTGTGCCGCGCCCAAAAAGTTCTCTCGGACAATGAAGCCGGGACTATCTGGCTGTCGAAGAAGGAATACCTCTGATGGACCGAATAATTCCACGTTGTGGGTGAAGTTGTCGGTCGGGCTTGGCGGAAGCACCGTCCTGGTGTCGGTCGGAGTCATTTGTGGAGGTGGGACGGATTGTGGTGGTCCTGATGGGGAACTTTTCGATCTCGCGATCCTGTCTGCTTTGACCGATGGAGATGCTGTCAAGGAGTACCCCAAGGAAGTTTCAACCATGGACATCAATTGCGGGGACAAGGCGTCCAGCAGCGACGCGCCTGCCGCCGCCTTTCCTGACGGGTTTGCCATGACTCAGTTTGGTGCACATTCCATTGGGACAAACAGTTTGCCCCATGGAAATCCCCCAGATTCGATACATCTCGAAAGTTCCGAAACCAACCAATCAAACCCACGTATTTCATAGAAATCTCCGATGTTTGGAAAATCATGACTTTTTTTCAGTCAGCCACGCCGTTGATGTAGCCTGCTCTGGTGGTGGCGTTGGTCAGGCACACCCCGACGTCACCCGGACCATCTAATGGGCAAACAGCCTGGAGAATTCCAATCAGCCCATGAGTACATCGTACGATTCCGACACGGGCACACCCGTAATTTGTCCATGAGAGTGGCATCCGTTCGTTTTTAAAATATTGCTGCGAAGATGTCACTCTGCGCCAATCCTGTCTCAACGACCACAATCACGAGCTCAATGTCGGCATCCGGCCATCCTTGCCTCTTTCACTTTCATCGTCTCCACGGCGATTCAAGGCCAGCACAAGACATTTCTCTGGAACAGAGCCGACGAGTGGGGGACCGAGTCTGCGCGATGTTTGAAAGGTGCATGGAGTAGTTCTCGCAAGTCGATTGGCCCATTTCTGTCCAATCAAAATTGTTTCATTTCGCCATGTAACGACGCCTCGGGAAAGCAGCCAATCAGAACGCTGAAACTGCTCTGTCACATGTGCTCCGGCGGCGGGACCTCGAACGACGACAGCGCCACAACTCAATCGGCCTCGACACCGCCACAGCTCTCGATCTGCAACATGACGTACTCGTCCTCCATCACGACGCCGCACTTTCGATCGGCGCGAAACAACAGCATCGACTTCGAAGAGAGCTTCAAGGCACTGGTCAAACAAACCATGGAGAAGCGCTGCACAGTCCTAAACACCAGCCCACACGACGTGGCGATAAGTCTCCACTGGCGTCGCGACTATGGCACGGCAACGAGCCAGCCGATCGCGATTCACTTTGGCCACCGACGAACACTGTCTTTTGAGGAAGCCTTGGCAGCGCAGGACATGACACCATCGCCCTCGACGCCGTCGCCTCGCTCCGTGGGTGCATGCCAGTTGGACGACCACGACGACGATGACATCTTTGTCATGGAGCTCTAGTCGTTGTGTTCCAAGGAGTATTTAAACAGATTTTAAAGAGCAAATGTAGACCATATATGTCAGTGTTTTTTGACGAGTAGCTGGTGCCGCCTCGCTTTAATTAACTCCACTTTGGTTCGAACGTGCGGCGAATCTGGCTGTAGTTGCAGCGCAGTCTCAAAGAACATCAAAGAGTCATCATGGCGTCCAAGAGATTCCGCCATGTACCCAGCATTGGACCACAACACGGCATGAAGCGGGTGGCGGACGGTGGCAGCCTCGAGCAGAGCCACAGCGTCCACAGTCCGGCCGTAGCGATGCAAACTCGCGGCGGCATTGTTCACGACGGAAACGCAGTCTAGGAACGTCGGCAAGCGCATGACACGGCCGTGCAGTCTGTCAAGGACACCGTCGTGGATACGTTTGGAGATCGTTGACATACAACGTGTCAAAAAGGATATGTAAAACAACACAGCGGCCGTCAAGTTGGATCGCTCCCACGCCAGGCCCGTCAACGTATCAACCAAACATGGATCAACGGCTTCGTTCAAGTCGTACCCTCGCGCCGCGACGTGCGCATTCGCTTGCTTTGTCTTGGCTAAAGACCTATACAATGCACCGCAACAACGTCGACGTTGACCTTGTCCACGAACGAGTACAATTACCGAAGAGTGTCGTCTATGTTGCCATGCGCAAACGCCACTTTGGCGTGACCGTAGAACGCGGAAGGACATGCCGCCCCTTGGTCGATGGCATGGCGGATGAGGCGGGCTGCTGTGTTCAGCGTCGAGTCGCCCACACCGACGTGGGATTCCCAAAACTCGACCAAGTGTTGCCCAAGTGATATGTGTGCCTAGGACGCCGGTCCGTCCATGATGCACATTGGAAGTGTCCAGCAAGTGTACCTTGACGTTGGGAACAAGCTCGATCGAATGCACCAAGTGGTGCATCGCGTGCAGCGGCTGCTTCAGCGCTGAATAGCATGCTGCGAGGTTGAGATGGGCCAGCGCGTACGTGGGCATGAGAGTGACGGCATGTTCGAGGTACAACGCGGCCAATGTCGCGTTCTTTGGCAAGGTGACTTTGCCAAGGTTTGACAAGACCTTGACGCTGGTCGGCGCGACATGCAACGCGCTCTGAAATAGCGTGGCTTCGTCATACCAATCGAGATTTCTCGTCGCGGTGCGCATCGTAGCCGCGATCAAAACCAAGCCCACCAACGAGAGCACGTGCACTTTCGCCGCCGGATTCGCGGCCTGCATTGCAATGTCGACTACCCACCCCACAACAAGACAAAATCCCACGCTTGGCAAGTACAACAATCGCTCGGCAACGATCGTCCCGACGGGGAACAAGACGTGGGATGCTGGAACAAACGGGCAGATTCCCAGCGCGAGCATGACAAACACGGGCGACGTCTGTCGATGTGCCGCGCTCACGATGACACAAGTGAGGACGCAAACATACGCCACGGCCGACCCGAAGTTGCGAACGTCGTTCACGCTCGTGACAGCATCGATGGTCTTCCAGCCGTAGTCGTAGCATAGGTGCCGTGGCCAAAATAGCTTCCACAGGTATAGCGAGTGGACGTGCGCGTACGAAAGTGCCTTGGCCGTCGTCGACGGCAAGTGTGCAAACTCGTTTTCGTAGATGCTCCATTGGTACATCATAGAAGGACCGTTCATCCACACGCGCCATGCAAAGAACGCTGCGCCAGCTGCCATCACGCCACCGCTCCGACGGAGTGCGCCGACACCGCAGTGCTTTGTGTATTCCATCGCCACGAGAACGGCAAACATCGCAAACCCAGATTCTTTGGCCAAGGTTGCTACAGATAGTAAGTAGTGACGTTAACAAAAGGGAATGAATGCAAACGCCACACGACGCACCCAAGCAGATCGACGCCACAGCGAATAGTGTCCACGTATGTTGACGACGTTTCGATTGGTGGCGGCAGAGCAGTCCTTGGTGGTACGAAAGCAGTGCGAGAAGTGAGAATACGGCGCACAGAATATCTGAGCGCCCGACGACACTTGCGACGGAATCGCAGTGTATGGGATGCACGGCAAACAGTAATCCGCCAAATAGTGGCGCCATGGTCTCACTGTTGTCGACGCACAAGGCTTGGCCTGTTCGCACCACCAGCATGGATACCACCCCGTGCAAGAGGACGTTCACGAGGTGGTATCCGTGAGGATGTAGACCATGGATGGCATAGTTCAGTCGAAATGACGCCACTGTGACTGGTCGAAAGCTCTTGTGACTGTGAGGAGAAGTCAAGTTCATGCCCCAGAAATCATGGTATAGGATGCTCTGTATGGGCGTGACATCCGTACGCACATCCATGTTCGTAAGGATCGCACCTCGGTCGTCCCATGCAAAATGGGAGAACGTCGTGTTGCTGTACGCGATCATCGCCGCCGCTCCCACCGCCGCGACGCTCCACCTTGTCATGCTGCAGATCTTGTAGAAAAAAAAATAGATCTTGATTGGCCAGAACAAATGGCATTCGAGTCATATGATTGGCTCAATCCTATGGGGCAAACCCCTGGGTCATATCCAGTGGCTTGCAACATATTGGGAAGCATGCTACTTGGCGCGTTGGAGGCGACACGAAAGCGAGCGTGCTGAGGCCACGCGCCTCGGCTGCGTTAAGAAGTATTGGTGTGGACGACGTTGCTTGCTATTCATAATTTCACCCGTGTCGCTCTCGCAAGATGCCACACGGTCATTGCCCCAAACCTCCAGCATTCGATATAGAAAGATAAAGTGTCGTTGCGATTGGTCCACAGGTCAAGTTCTGTGATTGGTCCATTTCTGTGCCACCACCAAGACACGAAAATGGTCAAGAAAGGCAAGGCGGCCAAGCCGGTCGCGTCGGCGGCGCAGTTGCTGGAGCGGGCAGAGACACTCGTGGATCAACTGCAGCCCGAGCTCGCCATCAAGTTTTTCCAGAAGGCGTCTGCGCTCGAACCGAACAACTCGGAAATTTACGATGCCATTGGCGAGCTTGCCACCGAAATCGGCGACCCCCAAACCGCACTCGACGCATTCCTCAAGAGCATCCAGGTGGCACCCAAGCACAACCCCGGCAAATACTTGTACGCGGCCCAGCTCGTGCAAGGCGAGGAGAGCGAAAAGTTTGCTTTACAAGGCATTGCCATCATGACCGAGTTGTTGGCCAACGTGCCTGCCCATGTAAGTTGCTCTGCACCGTGCCACGCAACTCATGGACCACGTCAACTCCCTAGCTGGACGAATCTAAGTTATTGAAGAAGCAGATCTGCGACGCGTACTGCAGCTTGACCGAGCTATACATGTCGGACCTGTGGTACGTTTGGTTGGCAACGCCAATTTTGCACTCGGCGTTGCTGTCGTCGGATGTTGGCATGGAGCTAAAGGAGCGTTCTTCCTGGCGTAGTGACGCGGACGACGCTGAAGCCAAGTGCGAACACTACCTCCAAGAAGCGCTAAAGTACGACTTGGGGCTGCCGGACGCGACGCAGGCGATGGCGAACTTTCGCCTCGTGCAACAACGAAAGGAGGAAGCCATCGAGTATTTGGACGAGACCGTCAAGCGGCTGAACGCGTGCGGTACGACCATATTTGTTTGGCGAAGGTGACACGGCGTTGTCGTAGACGAGCACACGATGCCGTCGCTGGAATTTCGCATTGTGACGGGAAAGTTGCTCGTCGAGGTGGAGAAGTACGAGCAAGCGGCGTACGTGCTGGAAGGGGTCATGCAGGAGGACGACGAGAACGCCGAGTTGTGGTTCTTGGTCGGATCGTGCTACAACGCATTGGAAGACTACGACACAGCGCTCGAATTCCTCGAGCGCTGCGAAGCGGTACGTGTCCTCTGACGGTCGTTGGGAGCGCCGTCGTCTCATGGGGTTTTGCTGGATCTTGTAGATGCTGACCAAGCTGCAGAAAGACCTGGGCGACGAATTTCAGCTTCACCAGCAACTCGACACGGTGCAGTCGCTGATAGAATCGATCAAGCAAATCGAGCCTGTCGGGGACGCTGACGATGCGGAAGACCACGACATGGAATAGCGTCGACAATGTCCGATGATATCTCAAATTATGCTACCCTTTTGCCACGATTGCCATGGGGTATAGTTCCTGTGCAGGGGGCATGCAACTGCAGCCCACGCCCGAGCACGAGCATGCATGTATGCCCTCGCACAGATAGAGAAAACTGGAGTGTATTGGAGACGACGTGAGAAGTTCAGAATATGGATCTCATCGGACCACCGAAGGTTTCGCTGCTTCATGCCGGATCCATTCGCAGGTTTCAGTCATCATGTCGCGCCGCCGACACGCTGTGGCCGTGAATGCGTTGCCGACCGGTGCTCTGGTGATCCAGTCCGTGGGCCTCAATGTGGTCTGCTCGACGAGGCATTCGCGTCCTTTGCCCAGTGCAAGCCACATACTCGGCAAGTTGGGCTATGGAGTTGGCAGCCGCTGCGCCGTCAGGTGATCCATGTACCCAATCCAATGCGAGAGTTTGTGTTTATTGCTTGATGATTGGTGGAATGACAAACAATGGTCATATTTTTAACGAATGAAATTCAATCAATTGCAACAACATGGCACCACCACCTGCGCAATGGCCAGACGGCGTCGCGTACTTGGCAGCAAATGAGCTCCATTGTGACGTGGAACCACCTGCAGGAGAAGACATCGGCATGCCGCACGTAACAACTCCATCCCCGGTGTTTCCAGTCTCGATTGCCCTCATCACGGATCCGTCGCACCCGGTCGCAAACAGCTACGGGCTGTTTGCAGCAGCGCCGATTCCACCCCACACACTCGTGCTCAACTACATGGGCCAGATCCATCTCCAAACAACGTTTCCAGACTCGGACTACGCAGTGACGTACTATGGGCCGTACTCTGTCGACGCCACGTTTGCCGGGAACGAAGCGCGATTTATCAACGACTATTGCAACATCGGCTCTCGACCGAACGTAGCCTTTGACACGTACCGCGATTGCGACGGAGCCGTTCACGTCGGCGTGTGGACGCTCAACGTCCCGATTGCACGAGGCGAAGAAATACTGGGCAACTACGGCCGTGCGTTCTGGCGCGCCCGAGGAGTGCGCGGCGTGGTCGGTCCCGACTGGGACGACGATTGGGATTCGTAGGAACGACGCTGGCACGACAGCGAGTGGCAGCGACGCCATATCGACGTTGGAACTGTGTCGAGAGTTCGCTTTTGAATGTTGAAGCAGGCATGTCTCGCCGCCAGCGCTTCACGAATGTCGAGCATGTCACGCGTTGAATGATGGCCAAGCCAGTACTTGGGCCATGGAGACCACATGCGCTCGCTCAAGACCATGCCATAGCTGCGAGATACCAGTGCCAGCTCGCCACAGTACTCGACTCGACGACACCGATCGCGGGAGGCGGCGCCCATGTAGCGATACACAACAAACTCGAGTCCGGGCAACACACAAACTTGCCTGCACTGGCCAGCCCATTTGCTTTCATGGACCTCGCAGTTTACGCTCCAACATCGCACACAACTCGCTGGTAGGAAAAGCCAAAAGGAATTCAAGATCCACCGCTTCCAACTACCGTCCTATTTACTCTACGTGCTGGGCGACCTTGTCCAAGTACCCGCCCTCTTGGCACAACTCAAAAAAGATGCCGGCGCCCGCCCCGACCAACGCGGCCGGCGAGTCGCACTGCACCAACCGCCCCTGGTCAAACACGAGGATGCGGTCCGCGTCCAAGACCGTGTCGAGACGATGCGCGATCGTGAGCACCGTCGACGACGCAAACTCGGTGCGGATCACGCGCTGCAGGTTCTGGTCCGTCTCATGGTCGATGGCGGCCGTGGCTTCGTCCATGACGACGATGCGCGCCTGCCGCAGCAGCGCCCGCGCCATGCACAGCATCTGCCGCTCGCCCACGCTAAAGTTCTCGCCGTTCTCTTCCACGGGACTGTCCAGCTTGCCGTCGACGCCCGCGATGCGGTCCGCCAGACGCACCTTTTGCAAACACCCCCACAGATTCGCGTCCGAGTACTCGCCGAACGGGTCCAGGTAGTTGCGCAGCGTCCCCTTGAACAGCACGGGGGTCTGCGGGATGATGGCGATGCTGCTGCGCAGCGTCTTGACGCCGACGCGCGCAATGTCGACGCCGTCGATCTTGATGCTGCCGGCCGCCAGGTCGTTGATGCGGAAGAGGGCCATGGTCAAGCTCGACTTGCCGGCGCCCGTGCGACCGACGATCCCGACCTTTTCGCCCGACTCGATGTGCACACTCACGTCCTTGAGGACGAGCGGGTCGTTGTCCTTGTACCGGAATGCCATCTTGTCGAACGCGATGTCGCCTTTCGTCGGCCAGTCTTTGGCAACCGCGCCAGCAATCACGCGGGGCGGTTCCGGCGCCACATTCGTGTATTCTGCCATGCGCTCGGGACCGACCATGGCCGTCTCGAGCTGCGAGATGACCGAGATACACCATTCAAAGTAGCTGAGGAGGGTGAAAGTGTAGTTGAGGGCGAGGCCGATCAAGCCCGCGTTGAGTTGCTCGCGCATGACGACGAGGGACGTTGCAATGAGGAACAGCATCACGGCGCTCGTGAGCTGCATGCGCAGCGAGAACCATTGGGTGACGATTTGGGCGGCGTACGTTGCTTCGTTGTTTTTGTCGACGTTGGTGCAGTGCATGCGCTGGAACCGGCGCACTTGGTTCGCGCCAAAGGCCCGAATCACGACGCCGCCTTCAATATCTTCCGAGATCAGTGTAAGAAGCGGCGACTTGGTGGTTTTGTTGACGCGCTCCATTTCGCGCGCCGGTTGAATATAATATCTCCCGATCGCCACGTACGCGTACAGGAGCGGCAGCGCAACGAGGCCCAGGTACTGGATCATCCAGAACGTGGTCCCGAGCGCAAAAACGGCATTTGTGATGGCGCCGAGGAGCCCCGACAGGCAAAACGGAATGGTCGTGTCGACAGTGTTCAAGTCGTTCGAGTACCGATTCAGGATGCGGCCAAGGGGCGTTGTGTCGAAGAATGACATGGGCGCGCGCAGCAATGCTTGCGTCATGGTTTCAAACAACCGACGGGACGCGCGCAGCCCCGAGCCGTACACGGACAGCGTCCGAAAGATGGTCATGAGGGCACCGACCATGGCCAACGATGCGTACATGGTCAGGTTGAAGGGGGTGTTGGCCTGGAACTCGTCCGGGTTGGTTGTAGCCGCCGAGCTGCTCCACGCACTCAACCACAAGTCCCCCGCGACGGAGAGCCCTTGCCACAGTGCCAACACCACCAACCAGTACAGAAACACCGGCCAGCCCCCCATGGCCTCCAAGTACGTCCAGTACACCGAGGCTGACACGTGCCCTTTCGATCGGGCTTCCTCCAGTACCAGGCGACCAGACGGCATGTCTTCTTCGAACGTGGACGCAGCCGATTCTGCCAACGGAGTGAATGGACGTCCTTTCAGCGGGGATGGAACGGGGGTCAAAGGAGCTACCAGCACGTCGCTTGAGGGCGCCAGAACCACCGACGGCTCGTCCGACAGCTTGTCCGAGTCGCGCCGGTCGTAGCCTATACGAGCTGTAAGCGGGGGAACCATGGGCCCATCTTCGTCGTTGGCCCGGCCACCTCCAGCCACCGCCTTCTGGATCAACTG